TGAAGTATGCTGTCTCATCTGGACTATTATTAAATACCTATAAGGAAATGAATCATCAGAATTGAAGAACATTTGATCTAAGTCAACGTACATCAATTAAAAATATACAACTTTTAACAAATATATAGAAGCCAGGAAATATTGAGCTAACAACTAAAGATTGATGATACCTGGACAAATTGGGAACGCCGCAAGTGAAAAATGAACTGAGGATATATTGAAAACCGTGGAGATAAGCTGAAAGAAGATGGGTTGTCCTTTTGATAATCTCCAAACTTCGAACATATATGTATCAATGCTTTGTCCAGCCATCTTATAGGGTCAAACTCGGCCTGCAGTGCCAGTTGCACCATGCAATGAGTAGCACACAGGTAATAATTACATGAGTCTAATCTTTTTATAAGTGCCAAGAACGGTAAGCAGAGAAAATGATGAAAAACAGCCATGACAGCAACACAATGCCCAACTGCCTCAGTAAAAAACAATCTGTCCATGAACCCCAAATTTAGAAACATAAAAAGGAATTATGTAAAATTATTAATTACCTCAATTTCCATTTTGAAAGAAACTAAGCGTGCCATGACTGCAGCAGCTGCTTCTTGATCAAATCCAGAAATCAAGTCCTGCAGTATTTTAAAGTATATCAACAAGGCAAGCTTAAAATATCACTATAAATTTTTTTATGAGAAAGTTGTGTAAGATAATTTAGATTAGAAGCTGTCTCTCCTTATAAAAATAAAAAATAATTAAATAATTATTAAAAAAAAAAAAATTGTAGAAAGGTAATAGAAGATGCCTCAAACCATTCTCATAGCAAGACAAAGATCAACAATTTCTATTCAACACTAGCACCTACCAAACAAAAAATAATAAAACATCACAGACAAGGGGAAACAGAACTTGCCTGTATGCTACCAGGTCCAGCAACCCATCTTCTTGAAAGAGTTGTAACACGAAGTCTCATTTCACCACTACTATGCTGGTAACTGTAGCAATTAAACAATTGTATGTCAAATAAGGTCCCATCTCTACCCATTATAAAGAATGACAAGTAATTAACAAGTTTGCATAAAAGTTCATACTATGTCAGAAACTGGAAATAGAATTGATTGCTGGGGGATTGAACAGCAGCATCAGGGATATCCTTCTTAACAATCTCAAATACTAAACATAAAGACGTAGCTTTATCAAGACCACACATTTTCCATGCAGTGGTGTTCCCCTGCCCAATTATTGTGTCAGAGCACAAAGGTCCTTTCTGCACATCATCCACAATTAAGCATCTCAGATTCTCAAGTCCAAGAAGCAGAAAAGGAAACCATGCAAACTTATTGAATTATACCTTTTCAAGAGATGCACAAGGGCCAAGGATTCCCTGAACTTTGACGTCCTTTGAACAGTTGATCTCAAATATACCACTGTAAGGAAAAAAAATAAAACTCAATTAAAAATTAAGATTGCTATATTGACCACATAAGGTAGACAATTCAGTCTGCACCTCAAAGCATCTTAGCATACATCAACTTTAGAAAGCATAAAAACTCTTTTAAATAAGGTTGTATGAATGTGAACTCAGGGGTCTAGGACATGTACATGCTACGTATGCATGACACCAAAAACGTAAAACAGAAGGTAAAACACAATTTTCAGATTGGCCTACAGTGCATGCTACACAACTGTGAGAAATAGAGTCAGGTGGGCGTAGTTAATCTAAGCCTTACTTTGAAGATAGTCCAAGATCATAGTCACTCGACTGGAAAACACATCTAAGAGAGTCCTTGAATACTGAGTGGCCAAAACTTTCTGCAAGCACAACCAGCCCTCCAGTTCTCTCAACTGCAACTTTAAGTTCAGCAACACCCACCTTGACAAAATGACAATAGAGGGCATGGTAATTATCAATGAATTGGGTTAAAGATTGCACGATAAGATGCTTAAATTATATAGTAAATCATGTCCAAAGAGAACTAACCTGATCAAGGGCACAAGCAAAGAGATCAAGCACATGTCCTTGATGCACAAGCTGCTTTCCGAGGCCCTCATAAAACTTAACAGCTTTATTATAATGGGGTGCAGAATCTTTGTCAAGATCCTTGTGGGAACGAATTGGCTCAGATAGATTCTTTGAGACAATCTACACCAGGAACCCATAAAACATGTTAATGACCATAATTGCCAACAATGGGACAGGTAAATGGAAGGTTAATAGAAATGCCAGAGCAGTTCTTACAGCACCAGGCCCTTCTGTTGAGGGACCTCCAACAAATGCCATGATCCTGGCTCCCAAACCAGGAACACAGGCTCCCAACAAAGCAGCAGCCACACTCAATGCAGCGCCAGTGCATCTGACAGCACGCTGGTCAGCAGGAACGGACCAAGGATCTTTCTGGAGCTCCTCCAGGACCTAAAGAAAATAGGTTTATCCAAAACTTAACTACCGTAAGAAGTACAGAACTTAATATCTAATAGAAAGAATTCAATTTGAACTGAAACGTTGGAACTTTTCATTGAAATGGAGTTGAATTTAAAATTACATACAGAATTGAGGGCGAACTCGCACTCAGACGCAGGCAAGAGGAAACGTGCAATGCTTTCAGAGGAGAGGCCGTCCCTCGCACCGGCAATAACACCTGTTGGGGGCTTTGGATTCTTGACGAAGAAGCTCATCTGTTCGAGGAGCTGATCCTTCGTGACTTCCTTGGAGCCCTTGAAGACATAGGTCTTGGGGATTTGCCCAAACCCCAGCTCGTGCACGTGGACAAGAGTGCCGAAGGTGATCAAGCCAACCAGAGAATTGCCAGGCAAGAGTCCGATAGCCTGGGACAAGGCAGACTTGAGGAAGGCCATCTCCTCCTCAATGATGCAAGTATCGAGGACGAACATGAATACCGGAGGAACAGAGGCTGCCTCCCCAGGGGACTGATACTCGATGGTGGTATACTGCGGAAACAACTCGGCGGGAAGGTTTTCATCGGAGATGGAGGCATACTGAGGAGGGAAGTGACTACGCTGGAAACAGAATGGGCAGATCCAGATCTTGGCGGCAAAATCCACAATAGCGAAGGGATTAAGAACAGAACGACAGTTACGGCAGCGGAGAGGAACGTAGGGGAGGACTGGCATGTTAGGAAAGGACTTGATCGGAGTGTAGATGGCCGATACTGGCACGACGCACTTACTGGCTTCCTGCTTCGTTCCCGGCACGACATTCCACGACATCCGAACGCCATCCTGCGCTTCCAGCTCCAGGAATTCCGCCATTATTGTTGCTCAATATCTCACGTATTATGTTTTCTGAAATTGGATTGATTGAAAGATTGTAATAAACAATTACGATTACGAATGAAGAAGCTTCGCATCTGAAATCCTGAAATCCTGAAATCTAGGGTTGAGACCTTCAGTGAGGAAGATGGTGAAGGAAATCGGATTGTCCGTTGTCACTGGAGTTTTTCCTTCTTACTCCCTACTGCCAGTACAGTGTCCGGCGGTAGAAGGAAGGCTGTTTTGGGAATTTCATAAAATCTGCTTCTCTCCCTCGTAAAAGGAGCTTGGTAATCCAACAACATTCAAGAAAAAGAAAAAAAAATCAAAATTACAAAAAATATTGTTTGTGCAGTTTTGATTGCACCAAATTATACAATAAAAATTTTGTTAAATATTTCATGAAATGATTCAATGATTAAAAATTTGAAACTCTAATTTAGAGGTATTAAGTTTAAACTTTGAATTGAGTGGAGAGATAAATTTATGAATAAAAAAAAATTATACCTCTTATATAACTTATAATTAAATGTAGCAAAAAAAAAAAAAAAGGTTATTAAACAGGACTGCCTTTTATATTGGAGCCTTGCTCCATCAAACTAGACTGCTAAATAAATAAGAAACTCTCAAAATTATTGGTAAAAAAAAAAAGAAAGTATAATGTTTCCCTGTACAATATGATTTGATATTGGACGAGTAGAAGAATCTTGAAGTGAAAAATTAACTACCACCGTCTATACAGGTAGAACTGTTGAGTCAAAGTGCCCGTAGTTATGCAATTGAAGCGCCATTTGTTCCAATAACATGCGAATCTCTATGTTTCTTGGGTGAGAATTGTCGCCCTTTTGGAACTCATGAACAATGCCATCTACTTCAATTGAACTACAGCCAGGAGTTTTCTTCAAGTTCCTTTCTTTCATTATCTTTCTCATCTTCAATGCATCTTTCCATCTGTTTGCAGAGGAATAGATGTTTGACATGAGAATGTATGCACCATCTCTTCCAGGTTCAATGTCCATCAGTTTTCCCATTACGGTTTCACCTAGCTCGACTTTTGTGTGAATCCTGCATGCTCCCAGTAATGCACCCCAGACAAAGGCATCGGGCTCGATTGGCATCTGTAATATGAACTCCTCTGCTTCCCTAATCAATCCAGCACGACCTAGAAGGTCTACCATGCAACCGTAGTGCTCTGTTTGAGGTTTCAGGTTGTAGACCTTGGACATGTCCTGAAAATGTTGCCTGCCTTCCTCAACCAGCCCTGCGTGACTACAAGCAGATAGGACGCCAACAAATGTTACTTCATCCGGTTTTACTCCAGCTTGGGGCATGAGGGAGAAGATTTGCAGTGCTCTCTCAGCTTCACCATGCATTGCTAATCCGACAATCATGGCTGTATAAGAATAAACATCTCTGCATTTCATGCCCTGAAAAACCTTGAAAGCTTCTTCTATGCTTCCACACTTGGAATACATATCCACCAGAGCGTTTCCAATGAAACCGTCTGAGGGGATATGGTTTTTATCCATGTAAGCATGAATCCACTTCCCCAATTCAAGGATTCCTAGATTGGCACAAGCATTGAGAACGGCAACCAGAGTAAAACTGTCTGGCTTAAGACCTATGGTTTGCATGTCATAGAAAACATCCAATGCTTCCTTGAATTGTCCTTGCTGAGCTAGTCCAGATATCAAGGAATTCCAAGAAACTACGTTTCTAACAGGCATTTCACCAAACACTTTCCGAGCAGAGGTTGCATGACCACATTTCAAGTACATATCAACCAATGCATTACCCACGAAAACATCATAATCCACAATATTATCATGCATGTATCGATGAATCTGAGTACCCAGACTAAGGTCTCCCAACCGGGCGCATGCAGACAGTACAATGACCATGGTCCTTTGATCAGCTATTAAATTCTCCCGACACATTTGAAAGAAGACGTTAATGGCTTCCCTCGCATGGCCCATCTTGACAAGAGCCTGGATAAGGGTGGTCCAGGAAACCAAATCCCGGTGAGAAGAATAGTCGAACACCTTCCGAACAGAAACGATGATCCCACAAACGGCGTAAAGCCGCATCAAAGTGTTGACGATATACACACTAGACGAGAGACCCGTCTTGATCGAATGCCCATGAACCTGCTCGCCATGGCTCAGAGACTGACACTGTGCGCACGCCTTGAGGACATAAGGAAGAGTATAGGTATCCGGAACGAGACCTTTCATCATCATTTCTTTAAACAGCGCCATTGCTTCAAAGGAGGAGCTTTTTTCGTTGAAACCAGAAAAACCTTTGATTAAGGCATTGTAGATGACAATATCTGGACTTTCAACATGCTTGACAATCGAGCGAGCGTAACTGAGGCTTTCAGGTGAAGAAAAATCGCCGGCGGACATGATTTTAGAGTACAGGAGCTGGATTTGGATGGGTCTGGTTTTCATCGTTAAAGCTTGGAGCTGCTTCATTTCTCGTGTCGATTTGCATAATTCCAAACAACTCAGGGATGGAGAATTCTGGGGAATTGATGACATTGCAGTGTGGGTTTCTACTACAATCTGAAAATCAGGAGCCTTTCTCCTTCCTCCAGCAATTTATCATTTTCTTCCTAGATTGCGTCTGCAAAATCAAGGGTTTTATATCCTTCATCTCACCCGAAACGGTGTCGTTCTGCCAGTTTTAATACAAAATCGCTGGTTCGGTGAAAAATATTGGATAATACTGTATTTTCCTGAAAGGGCAATTGGGGATTGGCATTGTTCTTCTGGGTATGGCAACAACAATTGGCCTCAGAAGCATATCAAGCTGCTCCCTTTTCCGCGCTGGGAAGGCGGCGGCCGTGGCGGTAGCACCGTCGTCGAATTCAATCACATTCAGATCCCTATCCAGATATCATTCTCTGCTTCATCGTCGTCTCAGGGGTGCTCCCTCATTCTGTACCAGTCCAAATGCAGACGCGGAGGCCTCCGCTGCCGCCGCTGCTGCCACTACTGCCGTGGCTCCATCAGAGTCCAGTGACGATCAGCCGAAGGATCCAATAAAGGATGCGGCTAACATGCTCGACATAAGGGTTGGCCGCATAATCAAAGCCTGGAGGCACGAGGAAGCCGATTCGCTTTACGTGGAAGAGGTGGATGTGGGAGAGCCGGAACCCAGAACCATCTGCAGCGGCCTTGTCAAATACGTTCCCTTGGAACAGCTTCAGGTGATTTCTACAGCTCTAATTCTCAAATCCATAGTAATGCAATGCAATTTCATCACAATGGTAGGTGATTCTGCAGGATGCAAAAGTCGTTGTTCTTGCTAATCTAAAGCCAAGGAACATGCGCGGTGTCAAGTCTTCTGGAATGCTGATGGCTGCCTCTGATGCCTCCCATGAGAATGTTGAGCTTCTTGTGCCTCCTGAGGGCTCTGTTCCCGGTGACAGAATATGGTTTGGCAATGAAGATGACAAAGAAAATCAACCTGAACCAACAACGCCCAACCAGGTACTGCCCAATGCTCATCTCTATGTTCTGTAGTTGTGTTCTGCTCAATTTGGTTGATCATATTATATTTGGAATGGGGATGATACCAAAACATGCATTAGATCTTGAAACTGCAAATATGCTGCCAATTACTAGTTATGCATCCTCTATAACAGATTTCATGCTTTGCTTCTATAAAATTTCTGCAGGTTCAAAAGAAAAAAGTTTGGGAAACAGTGCAGCCTCATCTCAAGACGAATGCATCCTGTATTGCATTGCTCGGGGAGCATTTGATGCGAACATCTGCAGGTGCGGTACTCTCCAAATCCCTGAAGAATGCAAATATCTCTTGATCAGTTCAAGACTCGTACCCAACTTCTCAGTATTTTAGCGCTTATCCTAAATGTCATGAATTTTTTTTTTGAGCTGACTCGCGGAAGGTTGATGCAACATTCAGCGCAAATTAAGTTGGTTGGTTATTCTACTTTTGTATGCTCGATTTTGTTTGGCTGATTTTACAAATGTCGTTGCCCTGTGATTTCATGAAAGTCTTGCGGTTTCCTGTAATAAAGCGTGTAAGAGACAGACCATAAATCTTTTCTTTTCTTTTTTTTATTTTTTTATTAACTCAATACCTGTAAATCATATTAAATTTCAATTAATTTTGAACTATATTAGGTTAGATCTCATGTAAGGAAAATTTTTTTTAATATTTATTTTTTATTTATAAGATTTAAATTCAAGATTTTATTTAAAAAAATTAAATTTTTTTTACTCAAATCAACCGTTTGTTGATTTTTCTTTTTTAGTAAAAGAAAAGAAACAAAAGAGATAATTTTTCTAGCAGGACATACCAATTAATTGAAATTATCATAATATAGAGAGGTGGAAAAAGAAATGAGAGTTCGAATCTTGATTAACGGTGGAGTTAAGAATATTTTTTTGGGAGGCAAGAAGAACCTTTGACTAAGAAATAATGTGGTTATGTCTAAATTAAAAAAATTAATAAAAGAGAAAATTTTTTAAAAAACTATTATAAATAATTTTTTTATGAAAATAAACAATATTTATTAATCTTTAATATTAAATTAATAGTGACTGATGGAGTAATATAAATTTCATTAATTGAAGGATAAAATGACCATAAACAAAGAGTAAAAGAACACTAAAAAAAAAAAAAGTTATTAGTGAATTTTTGTGAAAGGATGATGCTAAATAATTTTTCTTTCAATTAATCTCTATTTTTGTCATTTTTATTATTTATATTTTTCTCATCTTTCTCGTTATCACTTAAAAAGTAATATTCAATAATAAAAAAAAGTAAAATGATAATAAATTATTTAAGATAAAAATAATAAAATCAAGTTTAAGGACCAAACTTCCAAGTTTCAAAAGGCTGGGGGGGCCGGATCCCCTCAGCCCTCTAGTGCAACCGCTGCCCTTAGCCGTACGGATGAGGAAGGGCTTTAATAAAGTTTTAATAATAATAATAATAAATAACAGTAATTAGACATAATTCCATTTCATGCTTAAAACACTAGTGTGGTACTATAACTTCGTTTGAGGGTGTTGGATTTTTTTGTAATTATAGTTGTAATTTTTTAAATCTTTTAATTTTTAAAAAATATATAAATATATTTGATATTTATTTTAATTAATATTTTACATGTTTTCAAGATAATAAAAAGATTAAAAAAAATTAAAGCACTAAAAATTAACATTATCAAACAAAAGCTACATAATTAAGTTTGCC